TATTATTATTTTCATTATTTCCTTTATTACCGTCATGTTTATTTTTATTTTTCATTTTTTTCCGCCTCTCCCTGCGCTGTTTTTTATTTTTCCGCGGCCGCGGTTGCTCAGGGGGAATCTCTGAGTTATTTATTTTAAATTTTAAATTTTTAATTTATTTTTCTCGTTGCGTTCGGGATATTTTATTGCGGCGGGGCTGTTTCGGATTAATAATAATCGGAATTTAGCGCGGCTTTGGCTCGGGGAGATGGAGAGGAGGGGAGGGGGAAAAAAAACAAAATAAACAAAAAAAATTAAAAAAAAAACCAAAGAAAAAAAACCCAAAAAAACCCAAAAAAACCCCAAAAAAAGGGAATTTTCCGGTCGGGAATTCGGCATTTCCAGCGGGATCCTCCTGAATCCTCCTTTGATCTTTTCTTTCCCCCATCCCGATTCCGGAATTTTTTATTTTAAATTTTATTTGGATTTTTTTTTTTTTTTTTCCTCGGAGCATCCTCACCTTTCCCCCCATCCCCCCTCCTGCGCCACCAATCCCGATTTTAATTTTTTAATTTTTTAATTTTTATTTTTTTTTTTTTTTTTTAAATTAAACGGCCCCAAATCCTCACCCTCCAAACTTTCGGGCAAAGAATTTGTCGAGGGGGGGTGAAAAAATTAAAAAAAAAAAAAAAAAAAGTGAAACTCGGAGAGGCGCCGGCCTTTAATTGGAATCATTTATTTTATTTTTTTATATTTATTTCTTTTTCTATTTTTTACATTTTGTATATATTTGAATTTTTCTATTTTTTCTATTTTGTATATTTTTTAAAATTTTTATATTTTTCTCTATTTTTCTCTTTCTATTTTTCCAATTTTTTCTATTTTTCTATATTTTCTATTTTTTATATTTTGTATATATTTTAATTCCACATTTTTATATTTTATATATATATTTTAATTTTTCTATTTTTTCTATTTTCTATTTCTATTTTTTAAATTTTTCTCTCTTTTATATTTTTTCTATTTTTAATCTTTCTCTTTTCATTATCTTTAATATTTTTCTACTTTTAATTTTTCTATTTTTATTATTTTTAATATCTTAATACTTTAAATATTTTTAATATTCC